TAGGAAATTAATATGCAAGAAACCTAGATGTGAACAAATGAAAATTACTATACTAGCATTTTAGTAAACTATACAAATTAAATGCTAGATACAAGCCCATAAAAACAAGGGGGAAAAGGCACCTCATAGTCTTGCCAATCCACAAGCATATATCTTGACACCTTACCAGGTTTCCTTACATCCTCAGAAAGCAACCACTTTCTACACAGTGGGCGTGTCTTCGTGCCTCAGCCTGGAAGCTATATAGGAGCCAGGCCCTGCCTCTTCCGGTCAGCTGACTCCCACCTGTTTCCCTGGCAACCCACAGCTGGGCTCCTTACTTGCTGCTCTACAAGTAGCAGGCACCTCAGTGCCCTGCTACAGGTACCCTCCCTTTTCCTCACCTGCCACACCTTGTTGGAAATATACTGGTGTTATGGGAGGATGCTCCAGGGTCCCAGAGTAAGCTTTGTTTACTTTAGCCAGCTGGTACCTCTTGCACCCACCTGGCCCCAGTCTTGCTTTTGTGCACTAAGTTGTGGCCCTCTTGGCCCCATCAGGGCCTCAGGTTACCAGTTGCCTTAGTGGGTATATTTGTGGCCTCTGTCCTCCCCTGTAGTCACACCCATGCCTTGCACACGTTACTCCGTGTTCATTGGGTGGAGGCCCCCTGGCCCCAGTGTTGGCCACAATGCAGCTTTTGGCCCTCAGGCCCCAAACCTTTGTTTGGGCCTTGGGTTTCTTGGCCTTGGCCCTTTTATTCTGCCTGCACCCAGCAGCCCAGGTCCACTGCCCCAGACCTTGGCTCCTGTGCCCCAGCCCTATCTCACATTCACATGCTTTGGACCCCTGGCCCTGTCTCATTCTCTGTGTCCCTGGTCTTCAGCCCTTTGGGTCCCCGACACCAGCCTGGACTGCTCCCACTATGTCAGCCTCAGTCCTCTGGATCTCTGACCCTAGGCTGGGCTGCCTGTCACAGAGTGCCCCACCAGGAACCCCTCCATACTTTCCTCATAGCCACAGTCTGGTCCTCAGGTATCAAGCTCAAAACATAATATAAACACAAGCAAGCTGCTTCACAAACTAAATGTCTTCCACACTCTGGGTTAACAGTGCCTGCAAACCATGCCTCCCTTGGAGACCTTTCATCCTGCGTGACCTGGGTGCCTGCTCATTTGTCTTCAGCAGCCCTTCTCTGTCGGGAGCTCCTCTCCCTGCAGCATGTAGGCCCAGACTGTCTGCTTGGGCTTAGTCACTGGGCTTATGTGCCCCAAAGCCCCATGACTTCCTATCACATGGCTTCCCAGCCACACACAGGGGTTTCCAGTTGGGCTTAATGACCAAGGATGTTACAAGGATGACAGGCTTGTGTCACACATTGCCCTTCTATACACAACCATTTTCTATACTGCCCCTATATAACATAACCAACTTCCATATTAAGCATTTGTAATTATGGTTTTGTAGGGCAAATATTTTGGTAGGGGTCTGTGGCCACATCTACATGTTCATTAATATGTCTTTGCTAGTGCGTGTTAAGTTTAGTATCTTTAATATCAGGTACTAGATAAAGGCACAGCAGCTGCACTAATGCACAGTAGGAAAGGAAAACTTTTTTTGGTAACACTTAATGCACAGTAGACTAATTTTGTTGTGCATTAGTATGGTTTTTGCCATGACGTGCTAATGCGCAGTAGAACAGTCCACTGAGCGTTAAGGAGTCTCATGTAGACACGCCCATTGTGTAGAAAGTGGTTGCTTTCTAAGGATGTAAGGGCACCTGTTTGTGTGAAAACACTAATTAAGTTTGTCTATTATGTTCTGCTTTTGCTTCCAGGAGCTCCTTGTGTTCAAGTTGTAGAATAATAGGACCCCAATTCCTGGTCACCACTTCTTGCCATTAAGTCGGGACAAGTGACATGATAGTGTTCAATATGTTGTTAATTCCTATACCTCATTAAACAGTTTCCTTACCTTTTCTTTATGGCTGTTTTAATTTGTCAAAGTGAGTGATCAGGGATTGAGCAGTATCAAATAGTTACATGTGAAATCAAGAACTTAAAACACTGATTTCAGTTTAACTTCTGAGAAATCAAGCCTGATTATTTTTTTCCACCTCATTTTTGCAGTGCCAATTTGTGGGTTCTGCTTTTCCTCCCTGAACATCTATTTCATTTCCCTACACATGACGCCAGGCTCTTTGCCAAAGTCCCATTTAAATACCAGCTTGAAAGAAGGTGTTTACTGAGGGGCAAATCCTCTGTCAAGCATCAAGCCTGAGTAGTCAGTACAGTTTCAGGGCATAGCACTAGGTGCAAAGGAAGGAATCTTTCCTTCCCACAGCAGAGCAATTTTTCTTGCCTCAGAGGCCCCTGTCAGCCCGATCTAATAGTGGTTGCTGCTCTGGGAAGGCCAAATTAAGAGGAAAGTTATAACTATGAAAAAGCCTTTGTGTGATAGTTAGAAGTATATAAATAAATTTTCCTTTGCATAAAACAATGTTTCATGTATGGGGCTAAAGCTATAGTAAAACTCACTGTACTATGCAGTTACTGCATCTTTCTAGCATTTTTCATCTTCTCTGGTGCTGCTGTCTCTAATGTACGTTCTGTTTCAAAGATTCCTATAAATGCACAGACATAATACTCAACAATTCAACTTGTATTATATTTTGGATAACCTTTCGCAGATTAATAAAACAACTCCTGAGAAAGAAGCTATAAAATCATAACAAGAACAATGACTCATATTTCCTAGCTATCTAAAGTGATCATTTGTCCCAATAAATGGTAATTCTTTCAAGACAAAGTGCGCACATTTATAAACATCTGGGAGAAAAGCCTTGCAAACATTTTTATTACTTTTAAAATATATATTTAAAATTCTACTAGGCTGTAGTGGAAAGAACAGCAACATAGAAGACAAGGTGGATAGGCATGGTAATATCATGCTCAATCTCAAGAAATGTAATTTTGTACTGTAAATTTGCATTTCTGATTTTTTTCCCCACTCTTTTATGCCCTCAATCATTAGAGTGCAAAGATGTGAACAAAGTGGCTTATTGCCCACTGGTGCTGAAGTTCAAGTTCTGCAGCCGAGCATACTTCAGACAGATGTGCTGTAAGACCTGCCAAGGACACTGACCCACAGAAAGTGAGAGAGAGAGTGCCTTGTTATATCATTGTGGAAATGTGTCCATCAAAGAAAGCCACACAGTGGAATGAGATTGACGTCCTTGCAAATGCATTACCCTGTGGAAAACGTAACCACTGGTCAGCCCCAGCTGACAGGATTTCAATGTTATTTTAACTTCTGTGAAGTGGGATTTATTCATCCAAAGTGCTGGACACAGTATAAGGAGGGCATGCCAAATTGGAAAGATCCACACAACACATCTAGAATAGCTTACTGTGGAACATTTGTGTTCTTTTGACTAAATCCAGTAGTCTGTTTACCTCCTTGGACCATTAAAATAATTTTTATTATGGACTTAGCAATGACACTGAATCCATTTGTATTTAAAACTGTTCAAAATGTAGCTGTTATGACTTGGTCTACTATGGAAGTAATGAAGAATCAAAAATCTTAAGACATAGCTTAAAATTTTTATCTATTTTATCTCACTACACAGCACCAAAACTTAAATTATAAAATGAGCTTAGAAATGTTATTTAAGGAGCAATTATAAATCAGAAGTAAAGAAAATTGTATTTTTCTTTCATTACAGCTAATTCCCTTAGGAATAATCCATATTTCCTGAACGCTGCTGTGAGCCATAAATAAAGCTATACTAAACAGAACAACCATGAGGGACTTAGTTTTAAGAGGTGCAACAGTTATTGCAATGGTGCATGACATACAAGTGTGCTATGAAATGAAATCCATGCTACAGGTTTATAGCCATCTTGCCATTGTACAAGTGAAGCTGAGATTTCCACTAAAAGGGAAAAACATTTCAATACAATGGTGAAGCCAGACTCCAATAGGGTGAAGAACATATTGCCAAGTACTTCACTACCACTGCACAGGGTGCCTAAGGTTCACATTTTCACTCCAGTTCACTATTGTTTACATCACTAGCCATAAAGAGGCATCAGTTTTACTGATATCTAGTTGTGTTTTACACATTGCTTTTTACTCACTATCACCAAGAAGTTCCAGTGCAAAAGATAAACCTACTATATAATAATAAGGCAGACCCTCTGCAAACTTTGCTGACAGTTGCAATGAGTTCCAGATGTTTCTTCATTTGATACAATAGAAGGGCATTTATTTGTGAGAAAGATCATGTGAATGCACAGTTTTGGAGACTATAGCAGAGGGGGGAAGGATTACAACCAAAGAATAAAAGATTTATAAGCTCTTTTAGGTTATATTATCATAGTTTTAATATTCACCAAATACTTTTTATCAATACTTTGAATTTAATTTAAATGTGAAACGGAACTACTTGGGCAAGTCATTTCCAAAATCTAGTGTGAGTAAATCTTAAAGTTAGGCTCCTTCTCCCCATCACCTCTTGATAAGAGACTCAACAAGGAGATAAGGAAAGTGGATACTTGTTTATATTAATATATTGTACTTGAACACTTGCAGTTTGCAGCAGGTACTTGATGTATGTGCTTTTGTGTCCAGCTATGCCTCCTTTGTTGTAGTGCAATTAAAATTATGTGAAAAAATCTTGTGTTAACACTAAAATTGAAATGGCACTTTTAAAAGAAGTACTTTTTCCGTGAAATGAATAATTTGAAAAAAAATCACATGATATCTCTGTGTGTCAGTGTATTTAACAAATAATAAGCCAAATGTGTTGCACACTATGTACTAATGTGAATTAAGAAGAAAAAACAGATATTCTTAACAGGATTTTGTACTATGAAAAGCAAACAGAATTGACAATCTATATATGGAATTTTGTGTTGCCCGCTTATTCACAACCATCAAATTCCTGTCGTCTGCTACCTCTTGCCAGTATTTTCACTTCCATATACCTGTGACCAGTGGAATTAATTTTCAGTTGGCTTGGTATGGCTCATACTGGGCCATCTGTTGTTTTCAGTCCCATGTACACAGCTCCCACTGATACTGGCTCCAAGAAAATAAAATAAAACTTAAAAAAGTGCCAGGAGTTGTACACATGCAGTGCTTGTATATGTGATGGGGTTTTAGTCCTCAGGGTTGCATTCTATGCCCCCTAAATTGAAATGGTGAGTTTTTAATTGAAACGGTGAAGGGTTTTTCCCCATCACTATATATATATATTATTGTCCTGGTGGCTGCAGGTGCCTGCTGAAGGCAGAAGCAGCGAGGAGCCCAATCTTTTTTTTTTTTTTTTTGGCAGAGCCTGTCTGCCTCTCTTGCAGCTAGGGGGCCATTAATCTGTGCCATTAATCTGTCAGCTCACCCCCCTGGCCATGGGAGAGGTGAGCAGGCTCTGCAGAAAAAAAGGATTGAGCCCTCACCGCTTCTGCCTTCAGCAGACTCCTGTGACCTGCAGAACACCTAGGGCCACCTGGGAACAGGCTGGCTTGCTCCTGAGGCAGTGCAGGGATGTGGCAGGAGGGTGGCTGGGTGTGCTGATGGCCGGGGAAGGCAGTGGGGATGGTGCACAGGGCACTGGAAGCCTGGGCAGGCTCAGGGAAGTAAGCAGTCCTCCCGAGCGGTGCCACACCTCATGCACCATCCCTGCCACCTTCTCCAGCCACCCTCCTGTCACTTCCCTGTGCTGCCTGTTCCACAGCCGCCCCAGTCATCCTGCTGGCTGCAGGAGCCTGTCAAAGGCAGAAGTGGCAAGGGGCCTGATCATTTTTTTCTGTGGAGCTTGTCTGCCTCTCCCACAGCCAGGGGGTGAGCTCACTAATGGTCACAATGTTCCAAGTTGCAACAGTGCAAACTGAACTACATCAGGATGTAACTAAGTTTGTAACAATGCAAACTCATTTGTACCCCCCCCCCCCAAAAAACCCCCTCATGTATTTGTAATGTGTAACACCATTAAGCCACACAAAGGAACATTTTTGTCACATGTACATCATGGCAGTCACATGTACAAGCACCCATGGATAAAGGGCAGCATATACATTTTAGCCAGTGAGTGAATGACCTTTATACATCCTTTTCAGAGAACACCATGGTGCTAGCATGCCTTGGCTAAGTCAAAATACAATAAAAGGGAAAGGTGTTACCATGGCATTTTCCAAGCAAGAGACCTCTTTATATCAGGGTCTGCTTTTCTCCAGGGCATGATTGTGTTTATTAGCTAATGTGTCTTTTCAACCAACAAGAAAGTGTTTCTTTTGAGTGCATTAAAAAAAGATCTTTTTTACCTCACTTAGGACATTAAAATTGCAAGGAGTGTTTCCACAGACACATTTTGCTCTCTAACTGGTGCTAAAACACTAGGGAGTCTAATGTTTACTCTGCAACATAAAACAGCACTGAGGTTGGAATCTAAGGAACTCCCTGGAGCAACATAGAATTGCATTGTTAAAGGGAGCAAAGCACAGAATGTATTTGGATTTACAAACTAACCAACACTTCAGACTAAGACATGAAAATAAAACTTAACTGAAAGGAAAAGAAACATCATTGGTTTCTACAGCACAGTTCATTGCTGCTGCTACACTGTAGCCACCTATGTAATCTAAGCTAAATAATGTTATATTCCTAAATAGTGACAATAGGACTATTGGCGTATAGACTATTGGCAAATTGAATAGTAGAGTACTAAATACAAACAGCAATCTGGTGCCGGGACTTCCATTCAACAATACCATCAAATGAGGCAGATCAAACTAAAAGGAAAAAATTTATAGATAAATCCCTCATGGTGTATACACCCAGAAATAGTCCATTTCATTAGGAATTTTATTAATGGAGTGAATGTCACATAGATATCCTTAATAATACAGACTGAAATTACCTTTGTATTATTGTGATTAGTTGCTTATTATTTTATACTCAGTATTAATGTGGTACACTGTTACTTTATTATTATTATTTTTGCTTTTGTAAATTATATTCTAATTTATTGTCATGTTTCCTAACACTTGTTCTACATGCATTCTCCTGCTTGTAATAAAAACAAAAATATTGTAACACTTGATGCAGTGAAATTCCACACCAGGCACAGATTTGTTTTTAACATAGATATTTTAGTAAAATAAAACTGCAGCTTTTAAGAATGATTCATATGGTACAGTTTTCTGTTTCTTAATATAAAAATGCTAGAATTCTACAAGCACAAATTCATTTCATCAAATGCATTTCAGTGTTTTATTTTACATAACGTTTATATATTGTCTCAGAATCCTGTCACTGGCTACAGCAATGTTTGTCATATATAAGTATAACAATAAACAGAGGGAAAATGTGAAAGAGTATCATCATGTACATTATTAAAGAAATAGCTTAAGCAATAAATGTTGAAGCAGATCAAATCAGGAATGCTGTTAATAGGCAGCAGAACATCCTGTACATTTTGACATAATTTTATTACCAGTCAGTCAATAATAAAATGCCTCTCTAGCATTAGTATTTAGAGTTTTATGAAAATTTGCCATAATCTTTTGAGACATCAGAAATGAAACTATTTCAGACGATTTGATAACCAAGGTCATCACTCCTGAGACTCATCTGCTCTTGTAAAACTATTTGTGTACTGGAGCCTTTGAATATGAGAGAGATTTCCTGCTCTCTGCTCAGCTTTTCTTAGGATGATTGCTAAGGCTAACTTCAGTTTTTAGCGCAAATGACTGATTTATAGCTATTATTAGATGTCAAAGAAAATACAGAAAATGTAAACGTTTTTAACTCAACTGGTTAAGCACTTTATTACTCTTCCCTGATCTTTCTTCTTTGTTGACTTCTCTTCAGTTTTAAGGACCCTAGAAACAGTTCTGTATTTTAGAGATAATCATGCTATCATCTATCTAATATGAAGATGCTACTATTTTCCAGGTCAGAAAGTAAAGATGGAAGAGACTGTCAATCATATATAGTCTAATAATACATCTCTCTGTGCATTCCAGAGTAATGTTGATTTTCTTCTCAGTTTTTCACAGTACAAGTTCTTACTTGATGGATTGTCCACTATTGCTCATATTCCAGAATAATAACAATAATACTACTATTTTTCACCAGATGACTTGTGTTTGGATCATTATTGCACAAACATAACAACAAACTGTATGTGGTAAACTATATGCTTTAATGCTTCCAGTCTTCTTAAAATGTAGAATCTATCACTTTCAAATCCTCTGTCCACTGCATTTCTTAAAATCTTCCTAAATGCATTCTTCCGGATCCTGTACTTTACTCTGAGGCCAACCCTAGTTTCAAGATTCTCCACAATCCTTCTGCCCTTTCCTCCTCTATGGAAGCCATCTCTCCTGAAAGACTCTCTAATTTTTGCCTGCTATTGAAAAACTACACTTATATTTGAGTCTCTGATTACTTCCTGTAAGATATTCCTTCCCTTTTCTGATTTCTCTTGGTTTGTACAAATATTATTCAATCCCATAATAGATTCTATCTTGCACAGAGTTATCAATCTTGAATTTTTCACATTCAGGAAGACTGTCATCTGAATCCCTCCCATGGATTTTGACTCCAACTTCAGTGGCCTTTGGACTAAAACCATTCTTGGAACTGAAGTCATTGATGTGTAGAAGGACCATAAAGGATCTGTATAGGGTAGCAATTTCTGCATGCTGACAGTCTTGTGATTGAGCTGTGACTGTCACCCAGTGAAAAGTAAAACCCCATCTGGCTGGCTTCCCTCTACCACAAATACCAAGTAGGTAGAAAGGAGATCATTGCTGCTGTGTGGTCTTACAATCAACATGTTGAACAATTCACTGTAAGAGGCTTCATGCAGCATGCCATAATCAGGATGGAATCTGAAACAGATTAGTAAGGACTCAGTCAACCACGTAGCAGGTTTCACTACAGAACTATATGTGTGGTAAGTGCACAAGGGAGTGCTCATGCCCACAGTAGGAAATAGTGTTGCTCAGAATATAGTAGGATGCTCATTTGCATGCCCACTGGGCACATCTACATCTTCATTAATGTACCATAGTTGTTGCGCATTAAGTTTAGTACTTGGTTAAACAAATACTAAATCAACGCAGAGTAACTAATGCTACTTAGCAGTAGCACCAGTGCACAGGTTTTTAGTAATGCTTACTGTACAGTAATGTATTAGCATAGTTTTTGCCTGGCAAGCTACTGCGCAGTGTTATTGGACTACTGTGCAGCTAGCATCTCATGTAGACATACCCACTGTGCCTTAACATAGATGCTGCACTACCCTGCCCTTGATACATGTAACCAACTTTTTCATTGAATAGGCCAGTGTAAAGAACACAAGTATTTATGCTCCCTGGAAGACCCTGTGTGTGCAATCAGAAAATGTCCACTGGTTGTGGTTGTGATAACCACCATTTCAGCGTTATTCCAGAGGAATCAAATGCATTGTGGCTTCTAGGAGCTCAGCGAAGGTTCCCAGAGAATAGATTTCTTCAGTACTCAGTGCAACAGAGTTTTTGGCATTGTGCTTGGCTCCATCAACCAATTAACATCTGGGTCTTTATACTCAATTACATTTTTTTTTACAATGCCCTCAGTGCAACATAATTTTACCCTTCAAACTGACTGAAAACTCATCTCAGAACATGATTTGTCATTTGCAATTAAGGTCAACATGTCCCAAATCAGTTCTCTAGTGGAACAAAGGCTGCTGACTTGCTTCTGGATTTTGCAGACCTCCTTTTATGCTAGCAATTGTGAGGAATGTTTGGAACTTTGTTATCTGGACTGTTATTCAGATGAAAAAAATGGTATAATGTGATCAAAACCCTCTCTTAAAAATAATATTTGTTATTTACAGATGATAGCATTCATAACATTGTGTTAATATGGAAATGCTACAAATTTTATTTCCACTGAAACATTCCTGCTAAAAGAACTTCTAAGCAAAATTATTTTTTTCTGAATTGTATACCTGAACATTGCCTTACTGCTTCTTAGAGTTGTCACCTATTCTCAAACATCCATGATTCTTAAAATGGAATGAATTTATTGTAATTAATTTTCTAAACAAAACTACATGTAATGTGTTTACTTTCTAAAATAAACTATGTAGAAGCTGCCTATACTGAGATGCGCCTCCAAAGAAGAACCACAGAACTGGGATTTGCGAAAGGTACAGTTTTTTA